GGGGGGGGGGGGTGCTATGCAGCTCAGACTGGCCTTCAACTCACGAGGTAGCCCAGCAGGGCCTCAATCTCATAGCGATCCTTCTGCCTCAGCTCCCAAGGGCTAGGATTACAGTTGTGCGCCACCACACCCAGCAGTCTCAATGTCCTTACACAACTAACAGCCCCACATTTTCCTGTCTTTCACACAGTAGGGAATTCTCAAGGCCTCTTCCCAGGAGCTGCCATGAAAGAAGCCAGAGCCACTCCACCACGGGCAGAGGCAGAGGCCGAAGTTCTGGCCACAGGAGCTACTCCCAGGCCCCTGGCCCATGACAAGTCAGTTTCAGCGCAAGGCTCCTGGCATTTTCCTGATGTGCTATAAATATGGACCCACAATGGAACCAGCCGAGTGGGGGACCATGTAAACAGCTGCCATCATTTACTGGCATCCACCAGAGGCCCAGCCTTCCACCCAAATCCCTTCTTCCCCTGATACTGACCGCATCAGGACTTTGGAGAGAATCAAGGGAAGACTGGCCAGAGGTAAACATGATCCAGAACAACCACAACACAACAGTGAATGACAGTGCAGGGAGGAAAATGGAGACGGGACCCCCGAGCCACTCCCCTGCTCTGGAAAGGGAACGTACTTAGTAGCTTACGAAGACTTTAGAGTAGGAACCTTCAGAGCAGTTACTCAACACTCACTAAAAAGCCTACCGTGTCGGCTGTCATGTTAAGCATCAGAATGGCAGATGAGGAAAATTCTGTGGGCTGCCAATACAATTAGAAGACTTAAAGCACAAGATGACACTGCTAAACCGGATCAGAACTCTCCAACCCAACTCGAGTACACAGCGTTTGAAACACTGGTTCACGTCATTTTTCCCAAACATCATGACCACCAACACTCTTCAGATCGAATCCCACTGTACCTAGCTAGCCCTTCCCGACCCCAGAGGACACCATGCACATTGCGCCACGAGACACCCAGTGGCCTCTAGTCCACAGTACTCACAGTGACCGTGCGACCTGCTTGAGGTTGTCCACGCTCTGAGGGCTGAGAATAGCACACGTCTGAAAGAGCTCTAGAGATTCTTGGATGTTTCCTTCCAGGCGAAGTATCAATGCTGCCAGGAAAAGAAAACAGAGACAAGGAAATCATGGGCTGGCATCAGAGGGATGGATGAAATCATTTGGATACAACTGCATCTTCTTAGTTAACGCTGCAGGTGAGGTGCAAAAAAAACAAGTGGCGCCATTCAAACAAGCTAAGCTCCTTTCAGGAAGGGCTGGGAACCAACCTACACCTCACCACAGAGATCCCTGGTTTCTTTGCAAATGATCATAGAAACGCTGCACAGGAAGTGTGTGGGACTTCCCCTCCGGTGCTCTATTCATTATGGCAATTCAGACTTCCCCAGTCTGCAGGCAGCAGCCCAGACGGGCCCAGGGAACCCACATCCCAGGTCCAGCAAGGAATACATAGCACGGCGTGCTGTGGTTCTCGGCACACCACCAACCCAAACCGACACAGCTTCCTAGGCCTGTATTTCCCAAAGAATTTATCAGGTACTGAAAGCCTGGCACTTGTGATGTTGAAAAGAGCAATGTTTTTGCCATGATGTCCTAAACATGTCACTATCTTACCAACTATGCCAGGCAATTATGTATTAATCTGAAAATTATAAAGGCAATTAAATAGTAAACAAAACTATTCGTTAATAGCAAAGAGTCAAAAAGAGAGTTCCTGGAAAAATTCAAAATGCTACTTTTGGCATTAAAAAATAACATGCGTGCAATCCTAGTAGCACCTGGGAGGCTGAGGCCGGAGGACTGTAAATTCAAGGCCAACTTGGACTGCATGGAGAGATACTGTCTCAAAACAAAAGAGTAAAACTGAAGACTATGGTTCATAGATTTGATTTTGGAAGATTCCATGTGTCCTCTGCGTCACCCTATATATAGCTAGGCTGCTTATGCTCTAGCCTTGTCTCAGCTCATTTAGCTGGACTATAAGGGACCCTTCCAACTGCAACTTCTGGCCCTGAAACCACTGCATGAGGTAGGAACCCTAAGTATCCATTCTGAAAATCCCTAGCCAGAAAATAAACAGCGGTTTTTTGTTGTTTTTGTTTGTTTGTTTGTATGGTACCAGGGATCAAACACAGAACCTTGTGCTTGCCAGGCAGGCACAGCGCCACTGAAGTAAATCCCTGGCCAGAAAGAGCAGTTTTTTAAACAGTACTTGTTGCGGTTTAGATCTGGATGCCCCCAAAGAGCCTCACATCCTCCAAGGCAGGACCTCTGGAAGGTGAGGGATTATGGGACTCATAGCTATCTTGCTGTTAGAGGGACCTGCTTGGAAGAGGCAGTTACTGGGGGTGTGGCCTGGAAAGGTGTATCTTCCTCCCTTCCCTTGCCTTGGCTCTCTGCTTCCTGTCTGCCATGCCCTGAGCAGCTCTCCTCTGCCACACCCCGTGACGTGCCTTCCTGCCTTGGAGCCAGCCAACCGTGGACTGAAACCTCTACAAACCACGGTACAAATAAACCTCTCCTCAAGTGGTGAGTTGTCAGGGCAAGGTGTCTCAGCAACAAGAAGTGACTACAATGGTACTGGTCATTTCTGAAGTCAAATCCAGGAAAAAAAAATCACTTTCAGATTTCAAAAAATACTGAATAGATCTTTGTGGAATATTTACCTGAATTTAAGTATTTCACAAGTTGTTTGGCCTTTTTCAAGAACCTAGGCCAAAATCCTGTAGTAGGAGAAGAAACACATGTCTTACCTTGAACATAGACAGCATATTCACACAGCCCCTGAGTCTCCTGAAGCTGTTCTTTGATAACAGTCTGAAAGAGGGAAAACATTACCTCTGAATAAAGGTTAAGTGTAAGAAAAGGAAGAGGTAGGGCCAGAGATTAAGCTCAGTGGCACAGGGTGCCTGCCTTACAAGTACAAAGTCCTGAGTTCAATCCCCGGTTTTGGGGGGAAAAAAAGAAAAGCAAGAAATGGACAGAGGGCACATGTGAGAAACCTAGGACACCAACAATGACTAATGAAGCAGTTAATTCATTTGTTCAAAACCTCAATTTATGTGGTGAATTACTCATTTTAAAACAGGGTTGACAAATGATTGGGCTTATAGGCCATTTTTATAGCTCTCAAGAGACAGGGTCTTGATAAAGAGAACTTCTGTAAATAGTCTGAAACCTACAAACTGTTAAGGAAATACAGAATAATCACTGTCTTTCACTTCTGTAATTTGATTTGCTTATTTCGTAGGACAACAATACCAGAGGTTTCATCATTAACTACAAAGCTTAAGGGTACATTGTCCCAGTTTTAAATGTTATAAGATTATAAGTTTTAAATGTTATAAGATTAACAGATGCCAGAGGTGCTTAGCCACATCCCCAGGGTGAGACAGGATGTTCAAACTAAGATAACAGTCACCATACCTTATAAGCAAAGTACACTTAAACCCTAAACCCTAAACTTTCTGTAAATCATATGACTATGAAGGAATTAAGATGAAAGAAATGTCAACAGTCCTGTTTTCCTAACCCTGATGCACCCACCTCTTGTGGGCTAAAACAGGAGTTCAATCCCCAATACCAAATCAAAATAAAGTCTAACCAGGTAAGTTAGAAATGCATGAAAAGATTTTCAAGCCTTCACAGACTCTAGAAGCTCCTAATGAGCAAAGCACAGGCTCTGTCTTTCTACCATGAGAGCTGAGCCCTGGCTGCTACCGGAAAACTGGGGAAGGCTCTCCAGAGGAAGCAACTTCAAACTCTAAACTGGCACAGAGTAGAAAAGAAGCTAAGGTAGCCAAGAGATTCTGAGCAAGAGGGATGCCAAATGCTATTCTAAAAGCTTCAGTACAATGGGGAAAATGAAAATAAATTTTAATCATGAAAGAGCCCAAACCTATTTACTAAAAAGAAAAAACAGCCGGGTGTGGTGGCGCATGCCTGTAATCCCATCACTTGGGAGGCTGAGGCAGGAGGATCTCCATGAGTCAAGGCAAGCCTGAACTATATAGTGAGACCCTGTCTCAAATAACCAATAAAAATAACAACAATAATAATAATGATAAAAAGGGTTGGGATGTAGCTCAGTGCAAAGCACCTGAGTTCAATCCCCAGTACCACGACAAAAAAAAGAGATCCATAATGGCACTGCTAAATGTCATCAGTTCTGTGCACTACCTCAGGAATAAATTAGAAGCCAAAACCAAAATCAGGCATGATGGTGCACACATGGAATTCCAGCGTCTGAGAGGCAGAGTCAGGAAGATCTTAAATTCAAGGCCAGCCTGATCAACCTGGCAAGATCCCATCTCAAACTAAAATTTTACAAAACAGGCCCAGGAGCATAGCTCAGTGAGTGGGAGAGCACTTGCTTAGCATGCGCAAGGCCCTAGGTTCAATCCCCAGTACCACCAAAAGAGTCACAACCTTAGAAGCATTACAAAACTCTGAATGCTAAAAAGACAACAATAAGGACATATTTTTCAAGTGGGGCGTGGTGGCGCATGCCTGTAATCCCAGCACTCAGGAGGCTGAGGCAGGAGGATCGCTGTGAGTTTGAGACCAGCATCGGCTACACAGTGAGTTCCAGAGCAGTCTGAGCTACATAGTGAGACCGTCTC